GGCCTAAACATGGCAGAATATAACCAGGCTGGAAGAGATATAGAGAGAGAGTAGGTGGAGTCAGAGAGACGCCATGTAGCCACAAAAGGAGACAGATGCCAGATGGAACCATTCCAGCAGGCCACGGCCATGTGACAATACACAGATGAATAGAAATGGATTAATTTAAGATCTAAGAGATAGCTAGAAATATGCTAGAGTCTTTGGCCAACCACTCTTGCAATTAATATAGTTTCTGTATGATCATTTCAGACCTGGATGGCCAGGAAATGAACAAGCAGCCTCTGCCTACATGGATCTGCCCTCATCTCACTCCCTACCCTACCTCCAGTTCTCATCTGTATCCATTTCTTATCATCTGTACATTGACCAGCTGAGGCACAGTCTTTATGTTAATTATCATCTACTGCAAGAAGAAGCTTTTCTGATGAAGGTTGATAGATACACTGATCTATGAGAATGTTAGTAAGCCTTGAGGATTGTTTAAATACTTTGTCCATTTAGCCAAATAATAGTGTTGACTTCTCCCCATGGGTCTGTAACCTGTTTAACCACAGGTTTTTGGTTCCATTAATAGTGCAAGATATGGTTTCTATCTTAAGGAGCTGGCCTGAGATCATTCCAAAATTATTGGTGACTCCCATAACATTTATGACACCATTGCACCACTGGGTGTAACTTTAAACATAAATCATGAAATGATGTCCTTTTTAGAAAAATGATGGAGCTGAAGATTGTTATGTGAAGCAAAGTAAGTTAGACTTAGACAAAGATTATGTTTTTCCCATGGACAGACCTAAACTAATCCATGTACACATAAACAGTTACACACACATGATTTTTAAAATGAGTGTCATAGGGACCGACAACCTGGCTCAGTGAGGAAGACAGTTGTCACCAAGCCTATTGACTTCAGTTTGACCCCGGGGACCACCCTTGTGGAATAAGAGAGTGACAGCATAGAGCTGACCTCTGACCTCCACAAATGCACTGGAGCTCTTGTAAACCCATACAGTAAATAAATGAAGAAATCTTTATATATTGGAGAAACGATGTATAAAACAATTGATAAGACATAGAGTTAGAAGAAAATTATTATGTGATTTTTATTGCATATGCAGAAATAATGCAGAGTTGCTAGCTTGTTACAGTATGTTGAAATAACTGACAAAGTATCTTTGGAAGAAAGAATTTATTTTGCCTGGTGGTTTTAAATGTTGTAGTCTATAGTCTTTTCATACTAAGACCATGATGAGCTTTGGCAAGAGCAGAAATGTGTGACAGAGGCTTATTTGCCTGCTGACTGACAGAAATCAGACAAAGGACAAGGGCCTAGGGATGAGGTCTAGTCTTGGAATGCTTGACTCCAGTGGCCTACTTCCTCCAAGTATGTCTAATTTCCTGATGTGTCTGTCCATCACCTTTCAAAATAAAATGACTAGCTAGAGCCAAGCCTTCAGTACACTTCATGTCCAAATGATAACAGAGCAAATGACTGAGGTCAACAAATGGCTTCTTCTACAAATATGATAAACATGTTTATTATATATTGATGCATAGTGTATATGTATATTTAACATATGATAAACATGTTTATTATATATTGATGCATAGTGTATATGTATATTTAACATATGAGCTGGAAACCTATACCTAAGAGCAGGGAAACTTGTGCGAACACAAATGTGTGATGATCCTCATTGGCTTTAATTATTAGTTTATTGTTCCCATATAAAACTTAAGCAACTGTCTGAGAAATACTCTTGACGTTTATTCAAATTTATTTATTGTTTTAGGTTCTTGGAGATTGGATCTAGGGCCTTGCGCATGCTAAAAATTTATGTAATCACTAAGCTATGTCGTCAACCCCAATTGTGTTGCTGACATCCAAAATCAAATGCAAGCTTAATACTTTACATATAAAAATCTAGATTAGCTAGTTTTGGGAACTAAGTAGAAGTATTTATATAAAAGAATGTAAGGACTTCTGTGTATTACACTTTTTACAGCCATGTGGACATATATTTCCTTCTTGAAGCCATAAATACCTAATTTTTGTATGAATGTATACATCTGTAACTATAACATTAAGAATAGAATTGCAGGAAGATTGATGCTTCAAGTGCAAGGCCAGAGTGGTCTTTATAATAAGGCACTGTAAGAAAACTAAAAATAAAATAAATAAATAAAAAATAAAAAAATTGTACAGACTGAAAGGTTCTCTGGCCGTGATAGAAAGCTATAGTTTGAGTTTGAAGAGCTTAGCAGATGCCAGTGATTGTTCTCACTGTAAGACCCACTGTGCAGTGTGTGCTGCTGTGTCATGGGCCAAAGAGTGAATGGGAAGCTAATACCAGATGTGTTGTTTGGAAATGTGCCAGTCCCATACTCATTTTAATAACATCCATTTTAAATACACCTTTAGATGTTTGTATAATAATTGAGAATTTTTCTTCCATAAAAGACTATAGGTGGATGAAGAACGGATAAGGAAATGTGATACATTTTACACACTGGGCTGCTGTGAGGAAATGGTCTGCACCCTCTCACTTGTATTCTGATAAAATGCTGATTGGCCAGTAGCCAGGCAGGAAATAAAGGTGGGGCGACCAGGCAGGAACTAGAGGTGGGGCAACAAGACAATAGAATTCTGGGAAGAGGAAAGAGTCAGTCTGCTGTAGTCACCCAGACACAGAGGACACAAGATGTGACTGCCTCGCTAAAAAAAACGTACCAAGCCACGTGGCTAACACAGACAAGTATTATGGGCTAATATAAGTTATGAGTTAATAAGAAGCCTGAGTTAATAGACCAGTCAGTTTATAATTAATGTAGACTGCTGTATGTTTTCTTTGGAACTGAACGGCTACAGAACAGGGTGGGACAGATACCTCAGTAAACAATGAACTACTACACAGCAGAAAGAAATAACAACATCTTGAAATTTGCAGGCAAATGGATGTATCTAGAAAACATCATATTGAGTGAGGTAACCCAGACCCAGAAAGATAAATATCATGTGTACTCACTCATAAATGACTTTTAGACATAAAGAAAACCAGCCTACAATTCACAACCACAGAGAACCTGGACAACAATAAGGACCCTAAGAGAGACATCCATGGATCTAATCTACATGGGAAGTAGACAAAGACAAGATCTGAGTAAATTGGGAACATGGGACCTTGGAAGAGGGTGGAAGGGGAGGGGAGAGCAGAGAAAAATGTATACCTCATAAAATCAAATAAAAATTTAAAAACAAGACTATAGGTGGAACAGAGTAACTTAACCAATGGTATTATGGTGCCACTGGTTGACTGTTACATTGACTCTAACCTATCTGGTATATGTTATGATGGAGCATTACATAAACCATGAATATCACTTATTATAATCATCATTCACACTCTTTTCTCCATTTTACCTTAAAATTCTTATTAGGCATATACAAGATGAATCAGAGGGATTTATTTCTGCTGGTATCTGTGATCTTCACATTTCTTTTAAAATTTTCACTGGAAGTGTGCTTGGTGGCCTTGAGTGGAGGAGGGGTGTCGTGACTTTCCTTGTTCCTAACTATTTTTATCGCAGCAGGACAGACACAAGAATAGCTGGACTGTGGAGATGTGAAATCAGAACGAACACTTGTCAAGGGGTTTTTTTTATCTTTTTTTTTCAGCAAAATTAAAGGTTACTAATTTAAAGTGAGTCACAGTCATGCTTTTCTGCTAATTATTTGTTTAAATTTAGAACATTTGATATACATCTTTTACAATTGACTCTTTTCTGCATCATTAAACCTTATCAACAAATAATACTTATTGACTTCTGCTGGTGGATGCGGCGTGGCTGCTGGGCGGCAGTGGAGCTCACTCTCTGGCCCTGAGAACTAGCACGTTCAGCCGAAGAAACACTGGCTACCATGTCCACTTACCTCCCTCCTCTGCCATTTGCCTTCCAAAACCGCTATGTGGAAGATAAAGGCATTTTTGAATCATTAGCAGACACATTAAGAAACAGATGTGTTTAGCATTAAATTTTTATGACATCCTTTAGATCAGCTGCTTCCAGATTTATCTGAGTGTGAATAGGATATGGAAATTTGGGGTAAAGGGGCAATGTGTCGGTAAGCTCTGGAAACCTCTCCGGGAAGAACGGCTGAGGAGGGGGAGGCTAAGAAGTGCTGTCCTGTCTGCTGGCTGCTGCTCAGAGCACCACCTCAGAGTTTTTCTTACGACTCCCACTTGTTTCCTTTAAGAGAATTTTTTTAAATACATATTTTTCTTGATAATCCTTTTGTTGTGAAATCTAATATTTTTTTCTGAGGCTGAGTATTGCTTCTTTTGTAGCTTGTCACTGGGGTCACCAGATGGTACACCAACACCAGAAACTTAGTGACACTAGCTCAGCTTTGCTTCTTTTTGGCTGTGAAATGCAGTAAAGATTGAGTGTCATATCTAAATGTCGCTATCCTCTGTCTGACGTAGTCATGTCTGTTCAGTCCTCTGGTGAAAGTTAGACTTACTTTGTTCTAATGAATTTAGGGAGTTTTGAAGTCAATCACTTATGGATTCCTTTTTTAGTCTCAGAAAAAAAAATGAGCAAATATTTCTTAAATTATTCTCTTATGTATTTAATGTATCCACAATGTTATTAATTTAACAGGAGTTATTTTTAATTGCTAAAGTGATTTATTTAATAGTTGATTATATATAACTGTATAATTATATATCTAGTTTTTATATGTAGTCTTATAATTTATATATAAAGTTATTAATGCTTTTATTTCAAAAAATAAAAGATATAATTTTGTTTTGGCATTCTGTGCCATCTTCAGATCAATATGTCTGTCAGAGTCAAAAGAGATCAGTCTTGAGTGACTTATGGTAATCTTACCTGTGAATGTCTACTTTGTGTAAATATTCTTTGACACTGTATAGGTGACTGTGAAATTTAAATTATACATAAAAAACTCATTGTCTGAAACTCTTTCTTCCTAGGTAAACAGGATTATAAAAAAACCAAACCTATTTTACGAGCAACCAAATTAAAAGCAGAAGCAAAGAAAACAGCAATAGGCATAAAGGTAAACTTCTGTTTGATAGAGCTATAGCATGATGTATGTATGCCAGTTCATTTTACACTGAATTGCATAAGTGTTAAATTTGAATGTCTTAAACTACTTCAATCTCAATAAAGTGTTAGTAAAGTTTTTGTAAAATAATTTTCTTATTGGAAAACATTATTTCTGTCTTGAAATTTTGAGGGCCCTTAAGATAAAGTTGTAATTAAAGTTTATAGTATATGCAGTACATAGAAAACAGGTTTCTTCTCAAGCTATTATTCTAGCTATTAGAAATATTGTTCCAACACTTCAGTCATGTGTGTGGGTTAGTCAGATTCTTCCACTCAGTGAATCCCACTCCGTAGTTGTCTACTTTCTCTCTAGAAGTCTGTGTGATGAAATTCCAGTGATATCCTCAAACGTGCCCTTTGGCAAACCACTGTCTATCTGCTTATCAAGGAGGAGTGCAACTGGCGATGATGGCAGCAGATTTCAGTTTGATGTGCTTACAAAACCAAAATCCTTTATTGTTGGTCATGTCAAGTGTTCACCAAATATTTAGCATGGAGTAAACTAGGTAGGAAAATCCATTTGGAGCTAATGCTACCAAATGTGTAAATTAAAAATGACCAGCACAAATATTTTATTTAAATATTAAACTGTTAAAAGAATATCTGGGTGTTCATCTGGCAGATAAAAAATCAATTTTTCTAAGTTATAGCTCATAACAAATGCCAGGGTATTAGCAGCAAGCTGTGGCAGCTGTTGCCTTGCCAGATGATGTCTTTGGTGAGCGTCCAGAACTCGCTGTTCCGATGGTGGAGCCCTGCTTCCCCGCTCTGACTGCTGTGATCAGCTCTGCCATGCGGTGTGCTCTGCCCACAACAGTCTCCTCGGCTAGTGCTGTGTGACACGTTTTAAGGAAAAAGGAGATTTTTTTTTTTTTTTTGCTTAAAAGATTGGTTTGCCTTTTTGGCTTTTTATAATTCACAAGAAATTACATTCATGGAGTCCATACAAAAGACGTTCTGTGGCATCAGCTTTTAAAGAACCATGTTTAGCTTTTATTTTCTGTTTGGCCACATGGTGATTGACTCCTGTAATAGGAACCATTTCAACAGTGTCCTCCAAGGAAACAGTTAATATTTGCTTTTATATTTCACAGTATAAGGGAAATGTTAGTGTAACAAATGTATTTCTAGCATAGTTTAATGAATAGTTATATATTAGGATTATTGAAATAATGCAGTCCTCTATGTATTTATAGACACACTTGTGTGCCCATCCCTCATTTAATTTACTTTTGGTTTTGCTTTGAGGAAATGGCAGTGTTCTGGTTATAAGTTAAAGTATTGTAGAGTGCTATTAGTTAATATGTTTTTCAGAACTATGAAGAATTACTTTTTTAGCTTTCTTTCATCATAAAAACATACACTGAAAAGTGTCTGATATTAGAATATAGATCTATTTTAATAATCTAGCATATCATTCTGTTTGGTAAGCCTTGAGAAACAAAGACATTAACCACCATTTTCTTTGCATAAAAATGTGTATTCAGAGGCTATTACCATGACATGAAACTTCTAAAAATCAAAACCACGAAGGTGTCTTACATTTCAAATCTAGCATACTAATTAGTTTGCCCTGTCAAACTTTGATTGCCTTGTCATTTTGCCAATAGGATTTTGAAATAACAGAGTTTCCTTCAGCAATTGTCTTTTAAAGCTTGTTAATTTCCCTTGTGAGCGATTTTATCCATATTGATAATGTCAGAGAAGCAAGTGAGAGCTAATGAACATCAACCATATTTGACTCTTACCGAGTTAATGCAGGATGACCATAAAGTCGTATTGTCTTACTACTTCCCTACTTTTGAGTGAGTTAGAGTTGCACTCTTCAAATATTAAGAATCTACAGAAAATAGGAACAGGTGCATAGACTAGGCAAAAAAAACCACCAGTGACATCAAAATTGAGTATGCCATGAAAGGCTTGAGATCACATCCCTTGTGACCCTCATCGTTGGCGTGAGTGAGCTGACTAAATCTTCTTAAGCAGTGTTTGTAATTGGAGACTCTGTCCTTCACCTCAGGGCTGAAAGTAGAGAGAGAAGATGGAGCATTGAACCACATCCATGGCACCTGTAACTATTAAGTGGTTGGGAAAACCCCAAATTAGCCGTGCCTCGTTTGGGTAAATACGACCCATGAATATTTGTAAGGGCCTTCATTACTTCCCCTGTGCTTGCCTTGTGTAGCCAGTTGACACAAAGTGCTCTGGGATTTGCTGTGGAGTAAGTAGTATGAATATTAGTGCCTTAAAGTCTCTCAGCCACCACACACTTTAATGTGCTTACTGTGAAAGTCACATTGGTATAATTGATCCAGTTTAACTTACAAATCAGTATAAGCTAAGACAATATTGTAGAATCTTTGGGAAGAGATGAGTAAGATGTGATTGTCTTGAAAGCAGTGAATTAGACGTCACCTCCAGATTGAATTATCGTGTTAGACCCAGTGGGCTGAGCCTTGAGATGCCTGGCTGAGAAGTAGGCATTTGCCCTTTACGAGTTCTGGCGCCTTGTTCTAAATATACCGTTGAGCAATAGAAAATGTTTTGGAGGAACGATGAATGGTTTCAGCTTTAAAATAAAATTATTTTATTTTTTCTTTAATAAAAAATAATTTTTATCCAATATATTCTGATTATGGTCCCATCCCCCAACTCCTCCAAGATCCTCCCCACCTCCCCTCTCATCCAAATACACACTCTTTCTGTCTCTAGCTAAAAACCAAACAGGCTTCTAAGAAATAATAATAAAATAAGATAAAACAGAAACCGACAAACAAACTGAAATAGGACAAAACAAACAAGCAGAAGAAAAAGAGCGGAAGAAAAGCATGAGAAACCTAGAGATGCCGGGACACAGTTATCCACATCGCGGAGATTCTCGTAGGATGCGGATGCCTGTGCTCTGCATTGGCTGCCTTCACAGTCCGCACAAAGGACAGGACACAGCGTTTACCCACTCCACATCAATGCGATGTGCAGTGTCCGGCAGACCCTGCCAGCAACCCTTGGAAGGAACAGCTTGAAATGTTGTTTGTTCTTTTTGTGATTTCTGGTTTAAATCTGGACAGCAGCCAAATCACGGAAAGGGAGGCGTCTTATGCCTACAGGTGTCTAAGGTTATGGCCACAGCCTCTGGTACTCTGAAAGCTTCATTTGAGATTGGATCGTGGCAGAATCTTTAGAACAGTAACCCTTCATGGTGTCTGTCTCCAACAAAAGGCGTTTTGAAGGAAAGTGTTTGTGACATTGCCCTCCGTGTTCTTAAAGCCATTGCATGTCATACACTGACCAGATAGCATTGCAGTGCAGTTTTTCTGGGCATAATCTCTACGTTCTACCCTTAACATCCTTCTTAACACCTCTGAACATCCCGGAAAAGCTTAACGAGGGTGGGCTGCTTGTCTTAACAATAGCAAATAGCGAATGGGAAGGCAGTAATCAAGAGTGGTTCTCGGTGAGAGAGATGGAAACAAGACCAGCTGCGGGAAGTGATGGCCGCCGTGGATGGGCTCTGCTGTCCACTCCCCAGAGCAGATGGAGCTTGTGGTTGTGCCTCTTGTTCACTACACCCTCTTAAAACTGGGAGCCCTGTAAGCAGATGGGCCGGGAGCACAGCTGTGGCTGGAGGAAATAATGAGACCTGTGCGGTGCTGCCCTGCCCTTCGGAGATGCCAGAGCCTGCCAGCTGCAACAAAGGAAATTTCACTTCCCCTTGACATTACATTGATATATTAGACTTTAAATATAAGGTCCCACAAAAATTACTGACAGTTTTCCATGCTGTAGTCTCTATCAATATTTATTTTCATAGTTTGGATATCTAAATAAATATAATCAAGAAACAGAAAATCTGTACATAATGTGTTTGTGGTTTCAGCATTCACCTAAAATTTCATGTTGATTATATATCAAATTCATTTAAATATTTTTAAAGTTTAATAGGTGGTGCATGTTGAATTATTTATTTTGCATTCATCTTAAATGTAAAATATATTCATACGGATGCAAATGAATCACTTCCCCATGAAACAATGCCAGGTAGGGGATGCACAAGTGAAAGCAGAGTGTGTAAGGCCTTGTGGATCCTGAAGTGAAAGCAGGGTGTGTAAGACCTTGTGGGTCCTGAAGTGGCCTCTGTTCTTTTCCTGTGCAGTAAAATAACTCGTTAACATTGAGAAAATTTCTTTGCACACAGACCACACACATACAGAAAAACACACTGATATTTTTGAACGAAACTGTAGTTTTATCATATGTTAAATTTTTCCCATTACTAAATATTAATGCTTGATATAATCAGCATCAAAACACCAAAGGTAGTATCCAATCCCTGTCTTCAGGGCTAAGATGAACCATACTAGTTTATACCTCATGCACTCAGAGTTCACTTTGTATCCCACTGTGTAAGTTACAAAGTTTAAAGTTCTAAAAAGTAGAATGTATAACCAAGCATGTTGGGGCAAACCTGCAATCCCTGCACTGCAGCTGAAGACTAAGGTAGGAAGTGCACGAGCTGGAAGCCGGTCTCACTCAGACACACAACAAGTTAGAGGTCAGCTTTTCTCCAAAGAAAAGGGAAAAAGAAAAAGAAAAAAATGGAGTAATGGGGATTGGATTAAACAGAGAAAAGAAACAGTGAAAGAGGCTATGAATTTGAAGGAGATCAGGGCAGGGTTTATGGAAAGGTTTGGGAGCAGAAAGGAAAGGGAGATGGTTTGTAATTCTCTTACAATCTCTATAAAATGAGTATGAACAGGTGTACTTCCATAGTATCTGTTTATTGGAACCAAAATCAATGACATTTCTTCAAAATAGAAAATGAGTGGTAATTTGTAAAATATCTTCTGGTAAATCCTATCACTAATAAATAATACTTAAAAATAGTTACATGTACTTATAGAGACTAATTTAAATACATAAGCACAAACTACATTGGCTGTCTTTAAAATTTTGATGAAAATTAAGAAAACATATTAAAACGTTTTATTTTTTTATATTTAAGTTTTGCCACCAGAAAAATCTTAATAGACATGCCTCATCCACTTATGAATTTGCTGTTACAATATGTATTGTCTTATGAAAAATAGATTACTTATTAATAATTATTGAGTTAACAGTATTTATCCTACACCATGCAGTGATGATTTTATTGTGTCTGAGAAGCTAACCTCTCTTCATCAGCTCAAGTTCACTGTTTTCTCGTTCCCAGGAAGTTGGCCTCATGCTTGCAGCTCTCCTGGCCCTCCTACTGGCTTTCTATGCTTTTTTTTATCTCCGACTGTCCACGAATATTGACTCTGACCTGGACCCCGATGAAGATTAGCTGAGCAGCAATCAATAAATGAAGGGGAATAATTCCGATAAGAGCATCCTTGGGATGAAGTACTTTGACAATTTCTAAAACAGAAACATTTTGAATATTTTCTTCTTGGCACTGTCAGTTTGCAGAAATATCTTTGTGCCTCATAGCATAAGGTATCTGGAGATTTTACCCGGCAATCCTGAGTCATGTATGCTGCTCAGTACTTTGTACATCTTTCTGCTTTAGCAGATACCCTATTCATGATATAGTTGGATAACACAGTTTTCATGTCTTCCAAATTTACATGTATAACTCAACCACTTACACATCACTAAATGTTTTATCCCATGTATATTGTAGGGAAAAGTTTGCATTGTTATTTGAAAATGCACACTCAAAATCATATTCATAACCTAAGAATGAGCAGAAAGTAATGGGACATTTTTTTAATGTTTTTTCTTTCATTGTATTATTTTTGTTTATGTGAATACAGTTAATTAGTCATGTGTGTAGACACATGTATTCTGGGTGTGTGCGTGGGTACCCATGCCTGTTGGGTTCGGGGTTCAACCCTGAACGTTGTTCTTTTTTGAAATCCTATTTGACATGCCCATCCTAGTTTTTACAAAGAAGCACGCTTTCTTTCCAGACATATTTGATATCATTAGAGAGACTATCTGCACATGCATCCGCAGGAATCTCTTCCTTCCTTGCCAACTGTTAGTGCACATGTGCTGTGTCAGAGATGGCACCTGGATGACAGAAGCTCACAGAGTCACATATGCCCCTAAAGAAGAGCTCCTTTCCTCCTGGGCCGTCTGAACTGGTGTAAACAGAAAGTTCAGCTGATCTCAGTTTTAATTAACTTATTATTGCATTAATATAAAATTGGAATTCTATATTAATTATGTTGCTCTGGTTGCCTGCAGTATCAGTTCGCCCGTCTTGTTCGGGAGCTGTGCAGCAATCTGCTTTTAATTGCACAGAGTTTGTCACAGTGCAGAATTAGCAGGAGTGTACCTACGCAAAATCATTTTGTTGGGGTGTCTCTTGAATCTGAGCATTACAAAGGCTTGTTTTTAAATTACATTTTTTCTCTTGAGAACTAATTCATACTCAGTAGAGAATAATAAATGGTAGAAAAATATCTGCCACACGTTGCCTTCATCTGTACTTTTCTATCAATTTCTTCAATGTTATTTGTGTTGTAACATAAAGACTATTTAGTATTTGATTGGCAATCAGAGGTTTAATAAAATTGTTAAAAAACACATGAACACATAAATCTTAGGAAGTGTTGTGGATATATGTGTATATACATATATGTGTGCATTATGTACATGTATGTGTGTGTATCCATAGAACACATAAATCTTAGGAAGTGTGTGGATATATGTGTATATACATACATGTGTGCATTATGTACATATATGTGTGTGTGTCCATAGAACACATAAATCTTAGGAAGTGTGTGGATATATGTGTATATACATATATGTGTGCATTATGTACATGTATGTGTGTGTATCCATAGAACTGATATTAGCTTCTGTCTACTATAAAGATGAATAGAAGATGGCTATTTTGAAATATGTGCAGAGTTTTAGAGTGTACCTTGAATTTCTGAAAAATAAATACAATTCTAAGATCATTTCTATACTTGCCAGAGGCGGAAAGCTCTGATAGATACTCTAAGAGTAAGTCTGGCTGTAGAGAATAGGTTCTAAAAGAACAGATCTTCTTTTGTTACTTGTGCAAAAGCTGGGTATGTCAGTGTAGCATTTGTTCCCTGGAATTTTTCAGTAGCATAATTCATTTCATTGGTGTGAAACAGCCTAAGTTTCCAATATCCTCACAGATTATTTATGCCAAACATCTGAGGGCACAACTTAGCCAGTGTTATTTGCTGGATTCTTCCTCCTGAAGCCACAGACTCAAGAAACAGAAGAGTTCTTGTATACTCACCACAGAGGACCCATCCAAGTGGCATTCTTAGGAAAGGTTGCAGCATTTTACGCCATGTGGTGTGTCTGTTCGCGGAGTGAGAGGAAAGGGAATATCCAAGCTGGCATTTTGGATTTGATGGGCCTTTTACTTTCCTGAGTGACATGCCACATGTCAAGAAATACTGTTTTCTTCCAGTCTCCTCACACTGACGTGAGCAATTTCATTTAGTTATTTCCCTCCCATATGGTGCTAAACACAGGCACATCCAATGCAGCCTCTTTCTGTTTTTCAGTGGTAATTGAAGTGAGGGGATGTGTAATAACTGTGTATCAGATACTTATCCAGGTAACCTATCCAGGTTATAGAGTAGCACAGTTAACAGTCCTCAAAAGAGATGTGTGCTTCCTGGAAATGCTTGACAAGAGGCTGTTCTGGGAAAAAACTTCACCATTACGTTCTGTTCATGAGATTTGCTGTGGAGAGAAAATGTTGTTGCTATAATAATAAATACAAGTTGAAATGTACTGTAATAATAAGCAAGTTTCACCACCTGAGTTTCTCCATGTCCTGTGTCCATTTGTGTAGCTGGTTGATTTATGACATTCCCAGAAAACAAATCCCAGACTAAAAAGCTTTGATTTCAGTAAATAGCAGGTAAAGCAAGATGATAATATTTTTATATAATACTGTTTTCATAAAATGCAAATTTCATGAACTCATATTAACAGGAAACAGCCATCTCATGCATGGAAGCACCAGGCTGAACGACTAGTTTGAATATTTCAAGACAGAAAGGTGTTGGCTCCCTGCTGTATCAGAGGACCACACTTTTGAGTAGTAGGTAGCATTTGTTATAAACGTGGGGTTAGAATCAGGTGTAACGTTTAGGCATGGCTATTTCCCCATAATAACTTACTCTGCCTAGAGTGATGGAGAACAAAATAGAAGGCATTATAATAGCCTGTGACTTTGGAATCCCTTAACATCTGATGTGGTGTAAATTTCTAGCCAGGGCCAGAGAGCTAGCCCATAACTTGTGGAGAGCTGCTAATGGGGTGCAAAGGTTGTGCTTTCCCATGTAAATTTAGATGAAATTAAATTTATTTGAGGAGAAATAGTGTAAAACTATAACATCATTTAATATTTGTTTCTAAAAAAGAAAAGCTACTTTTAGTGAGAATACAGGGTGGCCTGTTTTGCGAGTGCAAAATATACCAAGAGCTTATGAAGCCCGATGGCGTGCTCTAGCCCCTGCCCATGATGGGGATCCTGAGAATATGAGTCTGCTTATTTCTGTCTTTCCAGTGTGTGATCCATGAATTTAAGTGCATTTAAGAATTTTGTTTTAGTGTATTTTAAATGTCTCGGCGTAATTGTTTTATATAGTAGATTTATCAATCCAGAATTTAGCATTTATGATTGTCAGGTATATTGGAAGATTTTATATATATATTCTACAAGAATTAATTATATATATATAATTTGTGTATGTATAAATTATATATTAATTATATGTATAATTAATTGTTGCAGAATCAAGCAATTGGCACAAAGTCAATATGAACTAGGAGCATCAGGGTTTTTTTAGGAAACTGAAGCTTATTTATTTAAAAACATTCTTAGCATTTCACATCAACTTACCATACATATTCACTCCAAATGAAAATAAAATAAAATTTTATTATAATGTTTACATGAACACTAAAGCACTCAATTTTCTAGGCTCTAAAAGTGCATAGTCAATATTTCATTGGAGTGAATTGTACATTAGAGAAGCTTCATAAATAAATGCTTAGAGAATAAACACAGTTATATTTTAATGTACTACGTCTGTAACAAACTTCTGATCCAGAGACGACCAAAGCCGATTCTTTATCCTCTCTCTTAGCAGCAGTGCCAGTTCTTTACACTTACCTGCGCCTCTCTGAGGGGAGCAGCCTACTTCTCCCCTAGTAGCCTTGCCTCCTCTGATTAACGCTGCGCCAGTGCAGCTTGGGTAGAATGATGTCAGCTATGTGTTCTCGTACTGGCCCCGTATTTAGAATCACTACACCTTCAGTAGACGCGAAATGGTAGCGGATGAATCCACACCTACAGAAACATCCTCACTATGATCTTCAGCTGGAATTGCATAGAGAAGTACAAAGGAGAGTTGGAGAATCACGTGAAGAAGTGTGTCACCATGGAACCGTCCTAGCAGATCAGAGAATCTCTTAAAACAATTGAACTGCAGCCCCAATCTGCACAGTAACGCCTTGTTACACAATTTCTGTATCCTTAGCAACAGATACGGGATGCTTATTTCAATAAAATAAGTTACTTTACGTGCCAGAAGATTTTTGATGACAGTACCCCCTCCTATTTTTCATTTTTTAAAACAACAACCAAATTGGTGGGGAGGCAGCCAAAATCTGAGGTACCAGTGTTTCTGGAACAGATGTCGCGCCATTATTTTTTAGCTCGTTTGGATGAATAAACATGCGAAACTGTGAAGTATTACATTTTAGATTTTTCCATTAAAAAAAGAGACAATCTGTTTACTGTCCTAATTGAGACAACAATCCTCGTGGTTGCCAGTTTTGGCAGTCATAACAATGAACTATAAATATTTGGACCAATCAAGTAAATGGTGAGCACAAAGGCTATAGCATGTGTAAAGTTCTGTTTTCACGGGCACCCATCTTAGGATGACTTTTTTTAAAACTTCATTAAATAAAATTGTTTGCGCGGAGCTCAAGTTTCATGGTACAGCTAAAAGAAGTGGATTTCGAGATCTAATTTCACCCTAGTTTGTCAACCTCTTCGTGTACAGCTGTCCGTCTGCTGCTAACAATGCAGGTTGTAGTTTCTCTGCCGAAGGAGGAGGGGCAGGTTCATGGCGCCCTTCCTGCGGAGCGTTTCTGGCCGTAGCACAAAGCTCAGTTGGTTTTTTTCTTCATTTTCATGTATTTATAAAAATACCACACACGTTTTAAGTCTGAAGTTGCAGCAGTTGGTTTTAGGGTTAAGTAAGGCTTTAGAGATAGAAAAAGGTATCTGTAATGCTTGTTATGACGGAAAGAAAGGAAACCACGGGAAAGTTAGTAGACACGACAGCTAGACAGACTGGTTGTAGTCCAGTCATTTGTGATCCACGGAGAGTTCTTCAAGGGATCCTTGTTTGAGTTCCCTATCCTCCTCGGACTGTCCGCCTTCAACCCGATTTCTCTTCTCTGTTTGCGTAGTCTCTAACATCCTTTGCCTTGTGCGTTGCTATTTAACCCTCACTCACATGTAAATATACAGTGTGAACCTTTCTTATAAGAATGTTTGGTTTTGTTTGTTTCGTTGGTTGATTATTTAATTGAGTGCATATTACCAAGGTACCATTATTGCAGCTGATGCAATTCAATATTATTTCTTAGTATCATCTAATACCAAGTCAAGACTCAAATGTTCCTGATTGTTTCCAAGCTCTCTTCTTTTAATGGGCCTGAGTGAGGTCCATGGTACTCTTGATTACTTTTTAAATTTCTTATATAGCAATGAGTTTTATTGTGGTTGTTTTTATATTCTGTTTTGCTTTTTGTTTTGCCATTGACGTACAGGTTCTAGTAACATCCATTGTCCCTGATTTAGAGTTTGTCATTGTTATTCATTTATGATTCTATTTTTATATTTTTTATGAAATGTGATAGTTGGATATTACGTCTAAGCCAAGAGTGTGCATAACACATAATGAGGAATATATGTCACTGTCTCACTTGGTTAGCTATGATTTATCAATGGGCTCGTATGCTACCACTGTGATTCCTTCTGAAATAAAGCTTTCAGTTAGTATTTTAGCTGTATCTCTTAGTATACACTGAAATTGATTTTTAGGTCCCTTGTTTCTTTAAGCACTGCAAAGTGCAGTTTTCTGTCTTTCCTTTGTTTTTTTAAGTGGAATAACTTGTCATTATTTTCACCATTGCCATTATTGTAATTATTATTACTGAGACACTATATCTATACGGGCTAGAATTACAGTACTGTGATGCACAGGAACAATTTGTAGTGAACAAACTGATTTAAAAGCAGGTTTATCTCCTCAATTGTGTCTGTGTGTTGGTAATTTTTGTGGTCTTTTAGTTTTTTGAAATATAACATTACATGAGAAAATGGAATAGAAATTGTGAAAGAGAGAGAGAGTAGGGGAACAGAAGGAAATTACATACAAAACGCCAAAGAACAGAAGACTTAGTTCTGATTTTTGATAGCACAATAGAATACTATTCCATTTTCTCATGTAAAATTACTTTTGTTTAATTATAATTGAAATATTTATATTCTAACCTGAGGCTCGTCTAAGAAGGAAGAGATCAATATATAAATCTTTCCCATTGTCAAATGTCCTAGCTGTGAGTTGCACTCTCTATTGTTCTTGTCCTAACCATCCGTTATTGTCATTGTAAGTTACGGATTTTATATCATCTTTTTATTACCAAATGAAAATTCTATCATGATTGACATTGGAAGTATTTTCATGAAAAGAATGGATTATGTTCCTCTGCATTGACATTTTCTAAAAATGAGACCTAGTGCAATAAGATTTTATATGTATATAAAATCTTATATTTTTATATGTATATAAGCCAGTATGTGTTTACACATGTATTTAAGTATGTGTATGTATGTATGTATGCCAGTATATGTGCACACATGTATTTAAGTATATGTATATGTACATATGTGTATATGTATGATGTGTGTAAGCTAGCATGTGTGTACACATGTATTTAAGTATGTATGTATATAGGTGTATGTATTATGTACATAATATGTACATGTATTTAAGTATGTATGTATGTGGGTGTAGGTGTATTATGCTATATATTTGTTTATTTGAAATGAGCCCACATACCCCAGGCAGGCCTTCAGTTCACTATGTCTCTGAGAATGACCTTGAGTTTCAGCTACTACTGCCTTCACCTCCAGAATCCAGGGTGTTCAACTTTATATTTTTAATCTAGAAAAATATTGAATGATATATATTATATTCCTTTAGAATATAAATATATGATAATAGCATCTTCAATCTAGGTTGATAAGGATAATGTGAAATGTATATTTCCTAATGTCAATTTAAATTTTGGCACATATACCAAATTAGGAAATAAGAGGCTTCACTAAAACAACAAAAACAAAAACTCTTCAAAAGACACAAAAGAAACCCCTAGTCATCCTGGATGTAATGATTCAGTTGTACTAACATAAATATTATTTTAATATGAGTACAGAGAATTTAATATATAAGCTATTATTGTATAGCATAACATTATAGTTAAATTATAGTATATAGTCATAGTTAGGAAAAACTAGACCAGCAGGACAAAAGATGCTTTATGTACTTTATGTACTAAACATAGATATTTATTTAATAAATAGTACAGAATAATAATAAAAATAGTCATTAAATGTATTTTTAAAATCAAATATCATTTACAAATTAAAATATATCTGTATACCAAGACTTACAACTAGATTATTTTCCAAAAATTTACAGTCTCTGAAAAAAATGAAATCATGTAAATTATGAGGAGAAATCATAGACATTTTTAGAATCTTTTAGTAGAAAATTATTTCTAGACATTGATATGAGGTAGAAATCATAAAGTAAATACTCTTAGATAACCACACACTAAGCTCAGTCGAACACTGGAGCCTTGATCTTTAAGAATCTGGAGAGGCAGTGTCTCTTACACACTGCTTGAGAGCGATAATTGAGCATGTTTTCTGGAAGGCTCTTTTACAGAGTCCCTCCAAGCTGTAAATGCCACACACACTTGATACATGCATTACAAGATGATGATGACACCAGTGTCATGCAAAGAATAAGCAAAGCGTTTTAGCCCCAGTGCTGTTCATAATACTCATGACTAAAAGCCATGATAGTGCGTACTAGCATGGGAACACAAACGACCCATGTCAGCCCATAAAGTAAGTGTGACATAGTCTTCACGTGGTCAGTAGTTAGCCTAGTGATCAGAGAATGGGAAGTGCTTGTAAAATTACATGGCACACAATTTTATTTTGCTTAAATGTGTCTATCTGCATATCTGTACTTAAATCATAAAAAGGGCATTTAGCAAGAAGTAAGGGATATTTGTCTTTATATACAAGTTAAGATTGATTTACATCATTGTAGCAAGCTGAATTCTTCATCTCTTCAGAGACGCTAAGAGGGAAATGTTTCATTGAGCTACTTAAGAATGCAAACACCTACTAGGCATGTTTCCGTTGTTTCATTATCTTTCCTTCTCGGTCACTTAACAGTATACCTATTAGGTATTAAATCTGTCGTGTCAGCCTTCACAATCCTCAGGATAAGCACTAGATCCGAAACAGCTCTGCTCTTTTCCCAGTGACAAAGTCATTTATTGTTTTTACACAAACTGTTTATTATTCTTTTTCTATATTTCACTCACTGTGCTCTGCTCTTATAAGAAAAACAGTCTTCAAAGTGAAAAGCCATACACTCATCTCATGAAAAGCAATATTGACAGAAGCCAATACTTTGATCAAACAGGTAATGGAAAAAATGAATAAACTGGTAAGATGGTAAGAGAGTGGATGGGAAAATCAACAAAAGGGCACAAATGTGTTTTGGCGCCCAGTCCATTCCATCGGGAATCTAGAATTCACCATGTGAAGGGTGCTGAAGACCTGGAAGGCGCTGATGTCCCATTGTGATCACGAGTCTTTCCTTTCTCTGCCTTAATGCGACTTTCTCTGGTTTACTCTAGAAAATTCCTATATATGTGTCTATTAAGACTGATCAGTTTCCAGGGTATCTGGAGTTCCCCCATCCAAAACCATGCAAGTGGACTCATAATGAAAACTTTCATGTGATATATTTCACATGCATTATCTGTCTTGTACATGCTGGTCTTTCTTACTCAAATCCACTGTTCTAAGGGAAAAAAATAACCTGCCGTTTTATTGCTGGCTCTTCAGTGCTCAGTTGTGCTCCTGACCTTTCAGATACACAATAAATGTCTTTGATTGCCTAAGCACTACGCCCCATTCCTGAGAATGGGTCCTCGGTAGTGGCATCTCTGACATAGAGGAATTAGAGTGGCAAGTGAATCTTCGTGCAGATGTCTGCTCTGTGTAAAATGGCCTAGGTTAGCACAGTTTCCCATCTTCTTTTCAGAACCAAAGCGCGAAAGGTTGTAACAATTACCATCCTAATGACACATAAGTGGATATTGGAAATCACGGAATGACCCTTTTCAGTTCCTTTCTTTCATGAGAGGCATTTTGTTTGAGTGTGAACATGCTTAATTTTGTATTATTTGAACTT